AAATATGTGTGTCATACAGCGGATGTGGGAGTGTGTGTGTGTGTGTGTGTGTGTGTGTGTGTGTGTGTGTGTGTGTGTGCGCGCGCGCATGTGTGTCAGCGGTCTGGACAGTTCTTCGTGCTTCCAGGTGGTGTCGCTGTTGAAGGCTCTGGCCCGCGGCGGCCGTACGGTCATTTGCACCATCCACCAACCCAGCGCCAGACTATTTGAGCTCTTTGACAAGGTGAACCCTGTGATGATGATGATGATGATGCTGCCATCAGATCACTGCTCCATCCCCGCAACATCACCAACAAGCCCATTGTGTGTGTGTGTGTGTGCGCGCGCGCGTGTGCGCGTGTGTGTGTGCGCGCGCGCGCGCGTGTGTGTGCGCGCAATGCAGCTTTACGTGCTGAGTCAGGGTCAGTGCATCTACCGAGGAGGCGTCGCGGCTCTGGTTCCGTACCTCGGAGACCTCGGACTCAACTGCCCCATGTACCACAACCCCGCAGACTTTGGTACGTACTAGCACGCCCCAACCAATGTCTGGCCAATCGCCAAAGACTAATCAGGCAGCGAAAACTGAACAATGCAGATCACAAGAGGTCAACGCATGTCATGACTTTGTGGACCTTCTCCGGGCCGGGCAATTGAGAACACATTCTGGTTTGCAAAAAGGTTGAGACGAAACCAACAAACGCCATTCGGATGTCAAGAGGCGGCGTAAACGACGACAACGTGAAGAAGAAAACACTTGATGAAAAACACCAACCGAATCATGAAAAAAAATTCCGAAGACGTTCCGGTCACGGGAACCGGAAGGAGACCTGAATCCATGACCCGGTGCCTTCCTTTTGGAGTTGAATGCCTTCGGTAGCCACGCCGGAATCGCGAATCAGCTTTCTCAAATGACCGTGAAGACGTTGGGCGGAAGAAGAAAGAAGCAGCGGGCGGCGTTGCGCTCGATGAAAACCGACGGCAATGTCCTCAACGTACAGACTGAAAGGATGTGCTTTGCTCCGTGCGCCCTCGAGGGCACCGTCTAATCCAGACTCGTATGCGTGGAGACGCTCACAACTGCTTTACTTTGTGGCAGTCGTCGTCGGTATTCTGCGCCCGCTAAAACGAGGGCAGACAAAACGGTCTCGGATCCCGCCCCTTATTGGTACAGTCCGTATTTGCATGCGCGTTGTTGATCACGTGTTTCGCGATGCGCCGCCACACTCGTATTTCGACCGTTACTGGCACTGGTACCGGTAGTGATGCCGACGGCCCGTATTTGTGACTTGCGCTTGGACGATGAGCATTTCAAATGGAAATAACGTTGACGGTGGCGTGATACGTTGCGTGGCCTCAGTGATGGAGGTGGCGTCGGGGGAGTACGGGGACCACACGGGGAGCCTGGTACAAGCGGCGCGCGACACCCGACTGGAAGGAGACCTCGACGGGGACCCCAAACTCCGCTCGCTCACGTGGCAGCGCGAGGTGAGAAACAGGCCCGCGTCCTCCGCGAGGCCGGCCGGCCGGCCGTCCGTCCGCTGATTGCTCGTGATCTGGCCGTCAATCAGGAGTGGTCGTCCGAAAGCTGTCGCGGCTTCTCAGTGAGCCGCCCGGTCCAATTCACCATCCTGTTCCGGAGAACCTTCCTCAGCATCCTGCGGGACTCGGTGAGAGGACCGACCGACCGACCGACCGCTCACGGTAGGCCGAGCGCACCGGGCCGCTCGCAAAATTCCAGCCGCACGGGATCGCTCGCGCGAGACCGCCCGCAAAAGTCCAATCGGAAAGACGCTAGAGACGAGTAGAGTTTGAGGAGAGAAGATTGAACCGTCGTCAGCAAAACTCGGATACTTTTGACCCAAAGTAGTCGTCGTATGAGCACTTGGACGGGACTCGTGCTTTTCATTCCTCCTGGCGCTTGCGCGCTCGTTTACGTCCCGCCGCTCGGACGGGTCCTTTTGCGCTCGTAGCGCGAGCCGTGCTTGGGACTCAGCCGTGCATCGGTAGCGGGCGCTCGTAGTTGCGCCTTTCCGGCGCCGGCTCCGCCGGGCTAGCGTTTGCGGTGACGGCCCTGCGCGCCTGCGCCCCAGGTGCTGACCCACCTGCGGATGTCGTCGCACGTGGGCGTCGGCGTCCTGATCGGCCTCCTGTACCTCGGCATCGGCAACGAGGCGACCAAGGTCCTGAGCAATTCGGGCTTCCTCTTCTTCTCCATGCTGTTCCTGATGTTCGCCGCCCTCATGCCCACCGTCCTCACCTGTCAGTAGGCGCGCCGGTCCGTCTCGATGACCGCGATGACCGCGCGTTCACGTTGGCGTTCTTGCCGCAGTTCCCCTGGAAATGGGCGTCTTCCTGAGGGAACATCTCAACTACTGGTACAGCCTGAAAGCCTTCTACTTGGCCAAGACCACGGCCGACGTTCCCTTCCAGGTCAGGCGTGCGCTCCTCTTCATGCGGCCGTGCCTTGACGTACCCGTCGAATCGGTTCGGCGACCGCGCCGGTGGCTCGACGCATCTCAAATCGTGAACCCGCTGAAATGTCGGAAGCCCCAACAACTTTTGTTTGTTTGTTGGTTTTCATCACGCCGCATGAAAGCGCGCAGCCGTGGCCGCGCCACGCGATGCCAGCGCCAAGCGTGGCCGTCACTCAGGAATCGCCCTTTATTGTTGTTGACGGGCGGTTGACAAAGCAGCTCATTGTCCGCCATTGACGGGGCCACCGGGGTCGGCGAGCATCTGGCGCCGCTCCGCTGTCAACGTCAAACTGGGGAACGATGCGCAGCCCCCAGTAGATGGCGTCGATTTACATTTGAGATCAGCGCAGTTTGAGTCCACATTTTGCGCAAGCTACCGTACGCTTGTTCGACTGCGGATGATCAAACAATGGAAAACGGCAGACTGCGACCTCTCCCTCACCCCACCCCGGTGAAAGGAGGGGCTGGATTCTTCCATTGCGAACATCATCATCGGACAGCGGATCCCCACGGATCTCGAAAAAAGTCCAAAGGCTCTAAAATGGCTGCCACCGAATGTTGAGGACGCACTCGCGGCACCAACCGGTATTCCCCCTCCACGGCGAGGAAACCAACGTGAAACGGATGACGGCCGGTCGTGGGGAAATGTGCCGCCGCCGCCGCCGCCGCCCGAAGCGAACGTGTACCTCAAATAGCTCCCTCTATCTCAGGGCAAGAGAAACGGATCAATCGGCACCTGGTATCTGGAAAAACTCGACGCGCTGGTATCTCACGGCGCCGGCGTACCGACGCTTGTTTCTATTTAGAGCGGTTCACTTCGACAGCTTGTATTGGCCCCATTTGTTGTGTTTGTGACCTCCGCACTTGCAACGGTTCCGCCAACGCTCCCGGTGCTCCCGGCCACTTTCACCGTTACGATGCTTGTAGTACGAGTACTCGTCACGTTGCTTCCGGCGGCACTTGCGCCCGCGCCGTTCCCTGCGTTCTGTGTGAGCTGCTATCAGCGCTCCTCGGATGCGAATCCCGGTCGTGACGTGTCTCTCTCCTGCCGCTGCGCAGGTGGTATTCCCGGCGTTGTACTGCAGCATCGTGTACTGGATGACATCTCAGCCGGCGGACGCCACTCGCTACTTCCTCTTCCTGTCCCTGGGGGTCATGACCTCGCTGGTGGCTCAGAGTCTCGGACTCCTGATTGGGGCGGCCTCCACTTCCTTGCAGGTACTTTCAACGCGTTCCCAAATGTAGTAGAAGTATTGACAAAACAATGGCGTCTGCAGGTTGCCGTGTCATTCCAAAAAGAGTCTTCGTGTTACTTTCGAAAATAAGAGGCGCTCTGGCCAGGCCAGGAGGGACTTTTAAAGTTCCGGAAGTACTTTGGCACGACTTGTGGCCTCGGGTCAGGAAGTCCTTTTTTTCTTTTTTAAGAAGAAGAAGGACTTTCGAACTAGGTGTTGCTGCCGCCGAGGAAATCGGAGCGTCTCCCTGATGTGGACCTGGGTTGACTCGATGCAGGTGGCGACGTTCGTGGGTCCGGTGACGGCCATTCCAGTCCTTCTGTTTTCTGGCTTCTTTGTGAGCTTTGACACCATTCCGTGGTACCTCCAGTGGATGTCCTACATCTCCTACGTCAGGTACACGGCAGCGGGCTTTTATTTATTTATTTATTTTTTTAAAGGAAGCGTGTTGAACACGCGCCTCTTCCCTCTGGGCGCGGGCATGCCGCTCCTCTCCAAAGACACGTGCAGAATCCGAGCAGTTGTTCACTCGGTACTGGAGGTGTGAATGTGAGTGGCAATGGATTGCTCGACATTGGCTGACGACCGCTCCCCTGTTGGGCCACACGTGCCCCCGCATCGATTAGCGACCGGTTGGCCGTCGGCTGACCGGCGGACCGACGCGAAGCCCGCCTCTGGTCCGACGTCAGCTGGTCCAGACCGGCCTCCTCACGAGGATCCGGGATGCACGGGTTGAGTTCAGGTGTTTCCATCTTTCAGGTACGGTTTTGAGGGCGTGATCCTGTCCATCTACGGTCTTCACCGAGAGGACCTCCACTGCAATCGTGAGGAAACCTGCCACTTTCAGAAGTCGGACGCCATTCTGAGGGAGTTAGACATGATGGACGCCAAGCTCTACCTGGACTTTGTAGTGCTTACTGTCTTCTTCTTTGCACTGCGCCTCCTGGCTTATTTTGTCCTAAGATACAAGATCAGGGCAGAGAGGTAGAAGCCACTCCACGGGGACTGGCGGATAGAAGTAGATACACCGGGATTGACCGCAGGGACAGAAAGGTAGAACCAGACCGCCGGGTCCGAGAGGTAGAACCAGACCGCCGCGACCGGTAGGCTGAACCGGACGACCGGAAGTGAGGTCGAACCAGAGCAACGGGACAGAGGGGAAGAAAGAGACCGCCGGGAGAGCGAGGCAGAACCGGATCACCGGGACTTGGCCACAGCAAGATTCCCGAGTTCGCTTGGAGCTACCGTCGGTAAAGTGAGCGGGACCGGACAGGAAGGGCTTTTTCAACATTTCTGCGACTCCGCCTCAGGAAGGTTCCAACACCGGAGCAGCGTCCACCGGACCGCAGGTCGGGAAGAAGTGAGCTAAGTCAGTCGGAGCATCCCGGAACAGGAGCGGGTCTCCTGTTCCCCAGATGGCAGATGGTAGCCCATCTTCGGGGCAAAGTTCTGGTTGGCCGTGAGGTCCGTCCAATTCAAATAAAACACACGACGCTTTAGGAATGTGCCGCAAATGATTTGAGATTTGAGTCTGACGCCGACGCCGCAATGGCAAAGTGACCTCATTTAGGGAGCGAAATGTATTATGAGGCAAAAATAATCGTCATCGGGTTGCGCAAAGCCAAAACCCGAATGGCCGATTGCGTTTCTGCGCGAGACGGCCGCGCCCCGTCGCCCTTTCGGCGTGTCACGGCCCGTCCAGGGCGACTTCTCAGTGCGCGGCGGTCGCCGTCGACGGATATTAGCAGGCCGTGTCTCGGTCCCGTTCCGTCCCCGGTGACACAGCAAACCAGCTCTGTGTTTCTATGACCGCAGCAAGACGCATCGCATCCATGTGATCGTTTTGAGTTTGAATGACAAGCTCAACTTTTTGGATCAAAAAAGCACACGCGCAACACTTTGCTTTTGTAAGTGCTCGAATCCGCCATCGATGCACTTGCACATGCTATTGAGCGCCTTGAAAACGTTTTTGCGCCACATTTGACATCATCATTCATCTGCGGTGAACTTGCGTCGTTCGCCAGTCGAGTCCGTGTTCGTCCATCGTTATTTTGGGCCGGACCGGTCCCTCAGTCCTTCGTTGCTCGATTAGATTCCGTCAGCGCTATTGAAAAAAATTCGAAATAAATCAAATGTTTACCAGGACCACGGAAGTGCGGACAGAAGAGCGACACGTCGGCGGTCTCCTCGGGAGGCTTCGTTACAGCTGCTCAGCGGCGCTCGCCGCTTTGTCTCGCTCGGCTGTTAACGGACTCCCGAGGGTGACCGGTCACTGGAAGTCGACATGTCGGTCCCGCCGCCATTCCCCGAAGAAGGCGACGGAGCAACAAATTGGACCCGGGAGATCGGTTGGGTGAGCGACCATCCCTCGGACCACTTAGTGGCGCGTGCTCGTTTCGTGGCTTAGAGCTGAAGCCACTCAGTCACCTGTTCTCAAAGTTCGGTCGCAGCCAGGGTTAGCTTTTAGCTTTTGGAGTTCCATGTCAGCATTTGGGTTGAAATCCAGTACAGGAACTGAAAAACCTGGCTTCGGGTTTCAAGCCAGCACAAGAGTTTGAAATGAAGTGTTTGGTTTTCAAATTAGGGTTTGTTTGGTGTGTGTGTGTTTTTGTAGTAGTAGGTGTGTGTGTTTTTGTAGTAGTAGTAGCGGTTCAAGTTTCAAGGCAGTGTTGAGGTTGCAAACCAGCCTGAGGATTTGAGGATACGGCTTTGTGTCGAGTTTCGCTTTTTAAAGACGCTTTGGATTTCAAATGAAAGTTTTGAACTCTGGCTTCTTTCCAACGTGACAATGTCGGAGCTTCTTGATGTTTTTCTTTTGGCTAACCCGGAGCTCATCCCCGACATGGAAGGTGAACACCTAGATTGGCCGCTCACGTCTTCTCTGCTCGCTTGTTAGCTTAGCATAAGGCAATTAGCGCAGCCTGACGGAAAACACTCGTCAGCAGATCATTAGCGGCGGCGGACGCGTCTTCACGGGACGACGCTCTTTGGGCTCATTAGCTTCTTCGAGGCTCATTAGCTGGCGCCGACAGCCACGCGCTGCGTTGCAAACAACTTTCTCATGAGGAACATTTCCATTCTGGCCCTTCCATGACGAGACCCTGGAGTTTAATTTGGGCCGGCCCAACCAGCGTCGACCCTTCCCGAGCGCCGCCTCGCCGTTGACCTGGCCCGCTCGTCCCCGCGGGACGTCGGCCTATAAGGCCGACCGGGCGGCCCGGACTCCTTCCCGTGGCGGACGAATCGCGCGGACCGGCAGCAGGTACGGGTCGCAGGCGGCCGCTCCCTTTCTTTCAATGACGTGGCTTTTGCTAGCAGGTAGCGACACGAAAAGGCGCTTCCTCTTAGTGAGCTGCGTCATTCAAATCATGACTGACAGATTCGTTTCACGGTTTCAAGAAAGTGACGGAATGCTTTTCTAGCGGCGGGCTAGCCGTTGCGGTTGACGCGCTCCGTTGATTTTGCCGGCGTCAAGGTTAACGGCGGGGCCAAACCTCGTCACGTCGCTCACCGCGTTCTTGGGGGAGCGTTCAGGTTGCCGACTAATCGCGACGTTGTCTGCGGCAGGATGTCGGCTGGGAACCGGTCGCACGGCAGCTTTGTGTTCCGCGGGTTCCCCGCGCTCGACGGGCGGCGTTGGGTCCTGGCGCCGCCGCTGGCCGCCACCTCCGCGCTGGCGCTGCTGGCCAACGCGCTTCTGCTTTACGTCATCGTCTCCGTCCAGCATCTCCGCAGCCCCATGTACCTTCCGCCGCGTCTCTGTGCGGCGCCACGCGTCACCTCTCGCCCTTTTCAAGACGTGCAGTGAAGCCCCGCTCCATCGCGCTTTCGACTTTGCGGCACGCGCGTGCCTTTTTCTTTTTCTCCCCGGGTTCTGCGGCTTCAGGGTCGTCTGGGTCGTCTCCGGCCAGCCTGCTGGGGGTTGAAGGCCAAGACGGTGCGGGTCGGGAGGGCGGTGGCCCACGGCAAAAATGTTCCCCTCGGCGCTCATAATGAAAGCGTCCTATTGAGCTCGGCGCGCCTTTTTCACCGGCTTGGCTGTCTTTTTCCCCTCTCTTCCGTCTCAGAGCCTCCCCTCGGGATGAACGAACGGGCCTTCACTGTACGCACGCTGAGACGCCACAGCTGTACCTTGACTTACCAGTCCAATTTGTCCCATGAACTGAAGTGACATCAACGCCTTCCAACCTCGCTAAAAGCACCAGTTTTTGGTTTCTTTTGTTTTTCGGGGGAATGCTAACACAGTATCGTCAAATCTACAACACAATGTGAAGTCATGTTCTCCCGGCGGTGCCCCACTTTTCAGAACGTGATCTATTTTTCAGTTGTATTGACATTCCCCACAACCTTCCAACCTCCCGAGCATAAGCGGGTGACTCGTGTCTGTGCGCACGTGAGCGGAATGCGCCCACGGGGAGTCGCATGGCCAAGAGAGCCACTTTGGGTCCGGCGAAAGACTTCACAAGAGGCAATCGCGGGCAATCGCCGTTTGCGTCGCCGGCGGCGAGCGGCGTCGGGCGCTTCCCTCGACGGCACGGCGTTGACTCGGGGCGCGCGGTTGAAGAACGCCAAGACAATCAAGGAGGTGGACGAAACACCCTTTTCCTTCCTCCGGGCACACGGTGAACAACTGGGGAGGATCATTCGTGGGTTGCGCGCTCAAGTCGGGGGAACGCACTTTTGATATGTTCCCTGTCTGCGTACGCGACAGGGAACGCTCAGTCGGCGTTCGCTTCCGCTTCGGGCTCGATCAAACCTTGGTATCATTTCCGGTAACGTCGTCCCAACATTTTCTGCTCCTGTTGACTTCTCCTGGCGGCACGTGTTGCCATTTTGGATGATGGGACGGGTCGCGTTCAATATCATCCCCACGCGCACGCGCCGGGTACCGCTTGCGCCATTTTTTTTAACCGTTCGCTCGAGCGGCGCCCTATCGAGAAAGCGACGGCCGCTAGCTGGAAAAAAACCCCAAACCCAAAACGGGGACGCTCGTAAGTCAAGGTACCGCGGCGGCACGTTGAAAGGTGGCGCGCCGCTCGTAGCGTGTACCGCGTCCCCAGGTACCTGCTCATCTGCGCCCTGTGCCTGGTGGACATGCTCGCCGTGGGCGCCGTCGTCCCCGGCACGCTGGCCGGTCTGCTGGTCGACGGGAGGCGCGTGTCCCTGGCCGGCTGCCTGGCGCAGATGTTCGGCACCCACTTCCTGTCGTCGGTGGAGTCCACCCTGCTCCTGGCGATGGCGCTGGACCGCTACGCCGCCGTGTGCCACCCGCTGCGCTACGGGCAGCTGGTGGGGCGGCGAGCGCCGCTGGCGCTGACGCTGTTCACGCTGGCCCGTAGCGGCGCCGTCATGGCCGCCCTGGTGGGCCTGGCGGGCTCGCTGCGCTTCTGCGCTTCCGACGTGATCCGCCACTGCTACTGCGACCACATGGCGCTGGTCAGCCTGGCGTGCGGCGACACCGGGCGCAGCGCCGCCGCCGGCGTGGCCGTCATCGCCTGCTTTGTGGGCGTGGACATCCCGCTCATCCTCTTCTCCTACTTGAAGGTTTGCGCGCTTTTGCGTCCGCTCTTTCAGAACGCGAGGGCGTGAAACCTGTTTTCCCCCGATCCGACCCACCTTTTCTTTTTTTTTTTTTCATTTAACTTGCGGTGTCGTCAGCGACGGCTTGTCGCAAATGTTGACATTTTATGTGAAGTGTTCTTTTGATGGCGGGGCGGGCGCCCGCAGCGGCTCCTCTTGTTGTCTGTTCAAGAGGGAGGAAATTTCACATTGGACAAGAAAGTCGTACTTGACTTGACTTGGGCTTCTGCCACCCGGAAGTATGCGCGGCACGATGCTTCAATGTTTCTATCTCACTGGCCCGGAGACGCGTCGGCAACTCAAGCGACGACATCCTAAAGATGTCGCGGGACCTTCCCGATGAATTCTTTGCGGGACGTCACCCCGGCGAACGCGCAAGCAATGTTTTGGTCTCCCGAGCCGTCACGGCAACGTCTCCGCCGGTGAGATGGTCCGCTGAGCGAAAAGGCACTCGCTCGCTCGCTCGCCCACTCTGTCTCTCTCGGTCGCTCTGTCAGATTCTGGGCGCGGCGATGCGAACGGCGGCCCCCGGGGACGAGCGCCGCAAGGCCTTCCACACGTGCGGCACCCACCTGATGGTGATGATGGTGTTCTACCTGGTCGGCAGCGTCACGTTCCTGTCGCACAACCTCGGTCTGGCCATCCCCACCGACGCCAACAGCGCCATGGGACTCCTGTACATCCTGACCCCGGCCGCCGCCAACCCCGTCATCTACGGGGTGCGCACCGCCGAGATCAGGAACGGCTTCCGCGGGCTCCTTGGCCTCAGGGGCGCCGGCAAGGCCAAGGTCTCGCCCGCCGCCCGGACGTGAAGACGCCAACGGCCGTGGGGCGAAACGACCCCGCCGCGCGCCGTCATCGCCCCTGACCGCCGCCGAACAACGGAACGTACGTACGCGCGCGAGCGAGCGAGCGTGCTTTTCCAATAAAAATACAGATTTATTTCTGTCTGGACAAATCCCACATTTGCCTTTGAGTGAAAGCGAAATACGCGCCCGTTTCTTGTGCTGAGTATAAAAGCAACCTCAAAGTGTGCTCACGGGATCGGCCGACGCAGGAGTTGGCGCTCCTCGAGCCGCGCTCGCGACTCCAAACTTGTCTCCTTGCGGAACCTTTCGAAAGCCTTTCAAACGCCGTCGCGCTACGCGGCACAAAAAGCGCCGGAAGGTGACATCCGCATGGGCACCGGGGGGACTTCCTCCCCTCCTCCGGCATGGATGCTTTTCTTCCAGAAGGTTCTTCGGTGAGTGTTTTTTTAAAAGGAACGTCCTTCACGCGGCATTCCTTCTTGGCCGCTCTTTGCGGAACGCGGCTCGCCGAAGGTTCCTCGTGGAATGTTCTCCGTGGAATGTTCTGTTCGGGACGTTGTTTCCGATCCGCCGTGCGAATACTCGGGCTTCGCGGATGCCGGCGAAGGAGCCGAGCCGCGTCGGTGTCCAAAAAGTGCAAAGAAGACCTCGTTGGCGTCGGACCATGTGGTGCCGATTCCCTTTGCGTCCGTACGCTTGGGGTGAGCTTCGCGTCGATCATGCCACCGGGAAGGCGTCTGCGGAGAGGACACGCCCGCCTTAGCCGAATTGTCACAAACGCCGACGCCACATCGGCGCTCGTTTGTTTCCAATCGGCACTTGGAACGTCATGCTTTTCATTTCAAGTATCGATATGAAAACATATTTTAAAAAGTGTGCTGATCCTTTTAGCGAGTGTGTCAGAATCATCATAAGATGAAATACAAGAAGCCATTTCAAAAATGAAACCAATTGTTGGACAGTGACTTTAAAAAATACAAATGGTCTTTGAATCGCTATGAAAATGATGATTTAAAAACGATTTTCCAAATGCTTTTCTAAATCGTGACCGTAAAAATGGGACACTTTAACCCCCCCGGATGAAGTGACAAGCACGTCAATCGAGTGTCCACGTGACCAAACCAACCAGGCCCGTTTCGGTGTCTTAGCGCCCTCTTTGGGTGGAAACTTGACACTGCGACGCAGGCAGCGGCTGTGTGGAGAGTTGACTCGACTAATCGACGGAATCGTCGCATCGAAAGAAAATTCCTTGGTGACAGCCCGACAAACAATACTTGTCATGGAAAATTCAAACATTTAAACACAAGTTAAAACCGACAACGACATGACCAAGACTAATCCATTTGAAACGATGAAAGGAGCGAATCAACTGCAAAAAAAAAAAAAAAAGGGTCAAATCCAAAGCTCACCAGCGCAGGGCGGCGGCGGCGAACCAAAAGAAGAAACGGGGTGGAGGCCCGCCGCGCGAGCGCCGGCCGGCGGCCCGTCCGCAGACGGCCGGCGGCCTTTGCGAGCACCTGGTGGATCGATCACAAGAGCGCCGACGATGACTCGTTTGTGGCGCCCCGGAGCAGTTCTGACGCTTTTCACTCAAACATCGAAAGCGGCGAAATTTGCCGGCGGGCCACGTCAGGGCAACGCGCTCGCCGTTCGGAGCGCGACGGGCGCCGGGTCGTCACCTTGGCTCGCGGGCGGCGGGCCGCTGTTGGCTCCGCCTCCTCCGCCTCCTCCCCCGTTGGTCTGCGAGCAAACGTGGGCGCGTCGGACGTCGGCGCCGCGTTTGCGGTGGCCGCCGCCGTGCAGCTTGTACTTCATCAGCAGGATGAAGATGAAGACCAGAACGGACGCCACGATGATGCCGCCCAGGATCAGGATCACGGTGCCGCCCAAAAACTAAAGGCAGACGCCAACATGTCAACGCGCGCCGCCGCGAGCCCGCGCGCGAGAGGTGAAGAGCGCCCCCTGCCTGGTCTCGTCTGGAGCGGCATCGTCCGTACTCGCTTTCGGTGGCGAAGGCCACGCAGCCCACCATCTTGGTTCCCGTCAAGGCGCTGACGCCGTCGTCGTAGATGGCGAGGACGCACAAGTCGTAGTCGCGGGCGGACGCCAGGTCGCTCAGCAGGAAGTACTTGCGGTCGGCCGGGATCATCCTGCGGCGGGAGGGATGGCCGAGCGTCGGTCGCTCGGTGACTGACGACGACACGCGGGATCGCGCGACTCCACTTGTCCGGGCGGCCCGCACGGCGCGCAACGTGCGGCCCGCGGGCCGCCACTTCTGACTCGGGCCTTGACGCCTCATACTGACGCGCCCGCCAAGGGGGAAAGACTGAAAGCGAGCGGCTCAGACTTGTTCGCAAGTCAAAGTGAATTCCAAATCCTCACAGTGAGACTCCATATTGCGAAATGTCAGCTCATCGGAGGCTGCTTTGGCGGGAGCCTTTTTTTCACGCATTGCCACAACAACTCGGGTGCGCTTTGACGTCTTGGTCGCAAGCCAGCGGCGGGGGGGGGGGCACAACCGCACGCTGTCTCAGCCGCGCGGGCTTCCTCAGCGCAGGCAACAAGGCTGCTTTCGGACCGCGCCACCCCGACGCCAACGACCGAGAGCCATCGCAGGCGCGTCCGGCGATCCGCCGCCGCCGCGGCGCGGGGGCCCTTACCTGTAGACGAGGACGTCGTCGGCGGAGCTGTTGTACTGGATCTGGTAGGTGCGCACGCCCGGAACGTGGCTCTGCGAGGGCCACGTGACGAGGGCGGTGCTGGCCGTCAGTTCGGACACGGCCACGCGCCGCGGGGCCGCGCGCGCCTGCCCCCCGCCGGCGTTGGACTTGATGGACGTGGGCACGTCCGAGGGCCCGGGGTCGCCCCCCGGCTCGGGCTCCAAGTGCGGCGAGGGGTTGACCACCAGCTCCACCGGCGCCGTGGCCTCGCCGGCCGCGTTGGACGCGATGCACGTGAACTTTCCCGAATCCTGCGGGGCGACGGATCAGAGGCCGGCGGGTGAGCGGGTGGGGGGGGCGGATCCCCGAGGGACGCCGCGGCGTTCCGCGCCGGCCCACCGTGACGGAGGCCTTGAGGATGTCCAGCGAGCCGTTGTCGTAGCAGACGGTGCGCGACGTGTTGCCCATCAGCTTGCCGTCGGGACCCACCCAGTGCGTGGAGGGGTCCGGGTCGCCCACCGACTTGCAGCGGAGGCTCACCTCCTGGCCCTCCATCACAAACATCTTGGACGTGTGGCGCGTGATCATCGGGGCTTCGCACACGAACGCCTCCTGTCGGAACACAACGCGGGAGAGGTTCGGATGAGGGGGTCGCGTTGCCACGTGCTGCTGCTGGACCCCAAAAAGCAGGCGTTTCGACAGCGGCAAGCAAGCAACGAGACGACGCTACGCTGCCCGCCTGTCGCTTTAAGAGGGGCGGGGCTCACACTGACAGCTGACAGCTGACCGCTCGCGCGACGGA